AGACTTGTTGTACTATTCAACGCGATCTGGGACATAGTAGAGGTGCTTTCAGACTGGTGACTGTCAACTGTCTTGCCTATCTTCAAGAAGGGTCAAGGCATTAGCCATTTTTCTAATGTTTCTAAACTTCTCACAGGTATTCATACTCAGAATACTTAATTGTTCAAGTAAAATCCGAAGCACTGAAAGCCAAGTTGGCTCTTGCAATAGCTGTGGTTGCATAGAACATACTCTTCGTCAAGTGTTAGAGCAGAGATACACTTACAGACGGCTGAGTACGGTGATTTTCCTTGACTTGAAAGCCGCCTTTGACTCTGTCGACCGCACCAACTTGTGGTACTGCCTATCCTTCAAGGGAATGCCATGCTGAAGTTCCTCTACCAGGAAGTGGTCTCCTGGGTTCTCCACGACAAGTGAGGTTCACCAGGATTGTCCTACATCACCTTTCTTCTTCAAGTTTGCAATCGAAATGAAATGACTCGGTTCTTGCAGACACTTGCAGGGTCGAAGCCCAACAAAGTGACCGGCTAAGAAACCTTGAGCATGTGGATATCATAGCTCTCCTTGGGTCCTACGCGGTGGTTATGCAAACTACTGAAGAGACTGAGATGCAGTGATACATGCTGTGCATGTGCTGTGCACTTCAAAGTGCAGACTACTGTCGCAGAATTGGCTCGACACGCCACTGGTACCACGCATCACCGAACTGCGAATGGAAGTGGTGGATAGGTTCACTTAACCTGATATCTGGGACACCATTGAGCATGGCCAGTGTGTGGTTTTGCAAAGGCTCAATCAGCTGTTAACAAGAGGGGATATCAGCCGGTCAGTGAACAGAAGGGTGTATAACGATGGATCAGAAGCGTGACTTGGCGCTCACCAGCTTCGCACCAGCCATGGACGCAAATCGATCATATCGAGATCAGTTACCGCTGTAGAGGATGTGTCCAAAACTGTCGCTCGCTTTGCAGCACCAGTGCGCACTGACCAAGCATTTTTCTGCGTATGCCTCCGGGTGCGTTTCGGTGGGTGTCCACAACATCGATGTGAACGGATTGACACCAGCCACATGGCAAAGCCAGGTGTTCTGAATGTGTATCAAAGTGCGCTGACATCCGGGCTCAGTAAGAGCCCACTAAAGACAGTCGATGGTAATTGGTCGCATAATCATCAAAGATTACTATCAGCAGGCATGTCTTCATGTGGTAAATCAAATTGCCAAACTGGACATTGGATCTCTACACAGTCTCTGGAACCTATGGATGCTCGCCGACACATTCCGGCTGGAAGCGAATAGAATGAGGCTCGCAAAAATCTCAGGGCAAAACTACGTGCTAGCTTGCAGAAAGACCGCGAAGCCTGGTGGTCTCATCGGGCCTCGGAGATGGAAACAGCCGCTACCGTTTGTAATCATCGTAAGTTATTCCGTCTGATACGGGAAACAGGCAGCAGGAGACCTGGTGTTAGCGAGACCATACGCGAAGAGAGTAGACAGCCTATCCATAGCCTGTCAAAACGCCTGGAGCGTTGGGTTGAACACTTCGTAAGGCAATTTAACCAACCTGAGTTATCGCTTTCTTCTTAGGGCATTGAGCGTCCTTCTCCCTGGGCAGTCTCCTTGGATCCGCCCTCACACGCAGAAGTCGAACGTGAGATCAGGCTGTTTAAACTGCATAAGACCTCAAGGGCAGATAGAATTCCCCCAGCCCACTTCAAATTCGGGGGACCTGCTCTAGTAGATGAGTTACACGAGTTTCTAATGAAACTTTGGAAGCCGCTCCGTCATTGTCCCAATTTTCAACGGAGGTTCCCCTTCGGAATGCGACAATCATAGAGAGATCAGTCTGCTCTCAATCGCCTCTAAATTGCTTGCGTCTGTAATTCCCCACAGACTGACTGGTACTCGTGAAAGCCAGATTCGTGAAGAGCAAGCCGGGTTTCGTCGAGGTCGGCGTTGGCTCGACCACATATTCACCTTGCGTCAATTGTTGAAGCACCGCCATGTCTATTGGCAACCCACCGTTGTCGTGTTTCTTGACATTAAAAGTGCCTTCGACTCAGTCGATCGATGTGCCCCTTAGAACTGTCTGCTGAGGAAAGGTGTGCCTGATAAATACGTAAACATTATCAAAGCGCTGTACGCGCACAGTTCGGGCAGAGTGAGGGTTTATGGCAGACTGTCGTCACCCTTCAGTATAGCCAGTGGTGTGTGGCAAGGTTGCCCGCTATCACCTTTCCTCTTCAACTTCGCTATTGGTAAAGTCATGGAATCAGCATTCGCTGGACACGACCTAGAAGGTGTGGAGCTAATTTCTGGCGAGTGATTTCTCGACTTGGAGTATGCGGATGATACTGCCTTAATCTGTGACAGCTCCCAAAAATGCCAAGCAACACGGGACCGATTAGCACTGGCTGTCTATCGTTTGGGATATGCTTTGCTCCATTGGCAGAGACCCAACCCTGCACTAACGCTTTGTGGCGATAAGCTAGAAGTGGTTCAGGAATTCGAGTACCTGGGCAGCTATATTAGCGCCCGTGGGATCGAAGATAAGGTTACGAATCGTACAGCAAAAGCTCGAGGTGCTTTTGTCAACCTCCGCCACCTGTGGCGCAGACGCGACATCACTCTCGCCCTGAAGGGCACAGTTTATAACGCAGCCGTCCGTTGTGTAACCTGGCCCATCAGGTCGACAGACATAAAGAGGCTCGTCACATTCGATCATCGCTGCCTCCGCAGCTTAGCTCATATCTGGTTGGAACACCGCGTGAGCAATAGGCGTGTTCGGCGTAGCGTGTTGGATGCAGGACGAGCGAGTGAACCGCTCAGCACCATTATATCACGCACCAGGCTCGGATCACTGGGCCACTTGTTGTGCATGCCGGAACACCGACTCCCGCGACGTGCGTTGTTTGCTCGCCGGGGGTGTCGCTGGAAGAGGAGGAGAGGAGACCAAGCGATGACTTAGTCGAGAGGAATGAAAACCCTCACTTCGAAACTGGCGGTGGTTGATGCATCCCGACTGCCTGGCTGAGGTCCTAAGGACGATGAACACGTTTGCTTGGATACACTTGCTGATATGACGAAGAGCCGGCCCCAATGTTGTTTGTGTTATAAATTTCTTAGTCCATCCCCCTCCGTTTAGGTTCCCCTTCAATCCCGATCTCATGCAAAACGCATGATATAATATTTAACATCATATGGTTTGTAGTAAATTTTTAGTCTCTTATCTTTTTGTATTGCGGCACAATAGCTTAGATGTGTTACTCACCCTCAGCTAACGTGCACTGATTATGATGATGATGACAGCGATGGATCTGTATGGATCAGAGATCTGGCTAGTTCACACTGTAGATCGGGATGCGATGAAGCTGACAAGGGTTACATCTGTTTCCTACAACTTTATGGTTCAAAGACAATAAACGCTAGGCAGCGTTTGATCACCGGTGATTGCGGAGTATCGCTTACCTATGGTGGGAACACGAGGTGAGCTATGCTGAGGTCCATCAGTTGGTTTTTGGAAAGAAACCCTCTGGTGCCTCAATCGAGAGTGCGCGTAGGCTCAAGCGCTCAAGATGGCTAGGTCAGTCCTCCGAATGACTGTCGGCCGACTTCTCCCGCGTGTGTTACGCATTTTGATTGAACCAAGTTGGGCGAAACCGTTAAGTGGTCAGTCGATAACATAGCAAAGGCATGAAGAAACTAACTGAGACAGTCAGGCTGGTGGGTGCCGTCTTCGTGAATAGAGACCCCGGGATGGTTCACACTATTGGTTGGAGACGCTATTAGATATGATGCAGTCGCGAAGTCAGTAGCGTTCCTGCATCCGACTTCATGCATTCAGATGTTAATTTTCACACAATTCTGATAACATTAACGCGCTTCCTTTCTGTTGCCATATTGTGCACACTCTATTTGCATGCAAGCTCATTTCCTTGCCGTTGCTATATAATATTACTATGGCGGTGCGAGTTGAGGCAACTAGATCCACTGCAATTGGATGTCCGGACCATGCCTGTTCAACGGCAGTGAACTAAACTGATCCCATTTATTTATTCAAGTGGATTTCATGAGCCAGAAAGTTAAGCGAATGATGGCATTGCAAAAGCAACTAACAACAAGTGAAAGTACATCCTTCCATGCAAAATAAAACCCGAACAGCGCAAACGACAGAGTTCGTTACGAAAGAGGTAGCTGACTTATACGCGAAGATTAGCGCCAAAGACACATTTGCATTTTAGATAGGTAAAGTGGTAGAGACATCGCGATGTTGTCTGTAAAATGTTGCCTAGTATGACTGTTTTCAGCAATATTGGGGCAGATTAGCACCGCTATCTTTAGATAGCAGTGCTTCAATAATAATCACCAAATACACGCATGCATTAAAAATAAACATTTGGAAGCTGGTTTAGGGATGGAATACAACTGGTGAGCGAAAAATGGGGCGCAAGGCCAATGACATAGAAGACAATACTTGGATATACGCAGATCATGAAGATAAAGGTACGAAAGTGCCGAGCCTGTAGCTAACAACTGTCTCAATGTTGTGAGCTATATTCACCAGAGAAAACCCCCATTAACCCGTTTTCTGCTGGCATCCTTTTTAAAGGGCACTTACTAAAATATGATTTAAGGCGTTCAATTAATCTAGTATTCTTTGGTTGCAAACTTAGATAACACACTAATCCCCATGATTTCGGAATTATTTTAGTCAGTTCAAGTTTATTATCGAAAAAGGTTTTCCCTTTCTTAAGTGAGCACAAGTTACCAATAAAATGGAAAATCCAAAAAGGTAAGTGTACTTCAAGTAATTATTCATTAAAAAGCATAAATTTTTGTGCTATATTATGTGTTTTGCTCTATTTTCTATAACGTACGTGAAAATGAAGAAAATTTAAAACCTATGCAGAAAATGGGTTAACCGTTGTAGGTAGGTATGGATGGAGAAGGTAAGGGTAAGCTGAGATTTCGATGAACAACACAAAAGCAACATGTCACTTACTCTCTCCAAAGCGATATCTGACAACAGCGTAACTATCCGAACTCTAAGATTGACCACTTGTTTAGATTGCGGAACTGAGAGCTCATATACAAACAATCTGGTAAGAAAATCAAAACCGGACATCCCGGAGTGGCTCCCTTCGGAGAAGAAATATTGTTGAGCGGATGGAAAATCCCGCAATAGTGCACTAAGAGCTGTCAATCCAGCGGACAGGACTTTGAAAGACTCGTCACTTGTCGGAGATGTAGGAGATGACGAGAATGATAACACAGAGCACAATTTGTCCAATAACCCGGATTGTAGGGCAGAAATCTTTACCACAGCGTTTCTGAAGCATTGAGTGGAAAAATAGGATATATATATATATATATATATATATATATATATATATATATATATATGTATAATGGGTGCACATCATGCTGATGTTGATGTTGCATACATCATTCCTTTTCACCGCAATAGGGCTACACTGACGTGAACTGTAACTTAAATCTTTTAATCCGGATAAAAAGTATTCCACTTAATTTGATTTGCTTAGTTCTATTATTCTGCTGCATATTCCGTGTTCATTTTACGTCTTTATTTTCCTAGAAATTCTTTAGTGGTTGTTTGATATTCCCGGCGTAGTTACGCTTGATGTGAATGTTGACGAGGTACCTACCTGTCAACTAACCTCCACCTCGATTATACTGGCTAGAGGTGACCGAATCGTTGTCGGGGGGACGGAGTGCACTGTTCTCATGACGGTGCTAGGCCCAGAAAGTGGTTACATGCGTCCAATGCGGAACGGGTTACAACTGAGCCATCGCCTTGTGTACGTCTGGTACGCATGATTCCCAAACTAGGAATGCAGCTGTTGTGCATGTTGAAGGAATGTGGACCGATTCTATTGGTGAAACGTGGCCTCCATGCACAAGCCTACCGGTATTATTCTTTTGGGTTTGCACTGCATTTGGGGCGTGTAAACGATGCAGTGCAAGAAACCCATGGTCTTTCAATAGGCGCAGGCATTCATTGGCTGTCTTATCGAGGTTGCAGTGACATCAGAACAAAGGTTACCGATTTGGTATATTTTCAGTAGTTCGTCATCAGGATAGTATACCACGAATGCATGTCAAGAACGTTAACAGTAGATAAGTGTACAAGTTCAGCGGTTAAAACGGTATGAGTGACCAAGCTAGGTGATTGATCCCACAGCGATCAGTGGTGTATGTGTGTGTGTGCATGTGTGCGTGTTATCCACGTCAGATGTCAACGTCACGGAGAGCCAGAGCAGAGTTAGCAGTGTTACATCAGTCTGTATTGCTAATAAATATAAGAACGGACTTTTAATAAAATTATTGGTGTGAAAACACCAGTAACTGACAGTTAGAATGTGGACAACAGCTCAATACATTAATTTTTCATCGAGTTGTCGAGATTTTGTATATAAGGAGTAAATGTTTGTTTTCGGTCGAAACTTCTAACTGTTGACTGTGAGAGCGTAGCATATATACATATTAAGTGGTTTGAAGCCATATACACCCATATCTTTCACGTTGGTAGCCGTTTAAATATCGAAAACATTCGCTTTTACCATTTTTCGTCCATTGCAGCGGCCGAAGCGATCGCCATTCGTCTCCAAAACCTTGACCAATGTGCGCAGAAGAAATTTGGCAGGGCCCTAACTCTACCCTGGCCACCTGTAACACTGACACATGGCGTGGATAACACCACACACACACACCACTGATCGCTGTGGAATCAATCCCCTAGCTTGGTCACTCATACCGTTTTAATCTCTGAACTTGTACACTCATCTGCTGTTTACGTTTTGACATGCATTCGTGGTGTACTATCCTAATGATGAACTAATGAAAACGAGCCAAATCGCTAACATTTGTTCTGATGTCTACTCCCGGGATATTGTATCAGCTGCAGTGACAGGCAAATGCGGATCCGGAAGCTGCCAACCACCAGCGAGGAAGCGACAAGTGCACAATTCATTTGAATAAAGGTGCATCCACAAGAGGTCGAATGTGAACTTCGAAATTAGATACTACCAAATGGCACAAGTACTTCAATCTTAGCTCTACAGTTCACACGGTCTAATGGGGTGAAGTATAGCGTGTTTAAGAAGAAATAATGTTTAAGGCTCATATAGAGCCTCAGTTAACCAGTCGTACATAGTCAATTGCTGAGAAATGGCATCAGTTGCAGTGCATACTTCACTCACAGCGGAGGCATTGAGGCAGTTACCTTGGTATGTCTAAAAAGTGTAAGGTGGTTTGCATGCTTACAGTAAAGCCGGTAAACCATTGCTGGCGCCCAGAACCGAAGAAAGAGTAACACTCGATGTTCCGGGTGACTATATGATGGAAATAGGTTAGCCCTCAACATACGACTAATGTTTCGAAAGATAAACAAAACACAAAATACCATCAAGACAAAATCATCGTCTAAGAGCAAGCATACTCGCCACCGCTGAGGCAATATGCATACGTCTAACAAATCCGAACTTGTGTGTTCAGAAGAAACTAATACAAACACTACAACTTCCCTGGCCGACCACCAGCCGTGAAGGAAGTAATGGTACTCCGCAAATTCACCTGACCTCAGTCACGTAATCAGATGAAGGCCATCACGATCACAAGTTAAATTGTCTAATCAATTGTTTCTTTGTTACACTAACGATTTCAGCAGACGTTAACATAATGTATATTACTGTATGAGCCTGATGAAGAAGTAATCGAAAACAATTGTTTGCTCAAAGCTTCGTGTTTTGTTTATCTTTCGAAACTTGACGTAACAAATGGGCATTCTACTTGAATTGAAATACGACTAATGACTGAGATTTGAAGTGTTGATTCAGCCTGCAACAAAGTAACTAATAGTAAGGGTAGTTCTACTTACATGACGGAGGTGTTGAAAAGTTATGTGAACGCACTGTACGCCTAAATCGGTATGAAAAGTAGGGCACCGGAGGGGTAAAACGCACGAAAACTTGCACAGAAAAGGCGTACGAATGAAGCATCATTGAAAGTCATACACGGTAACATACCCCTGTATTGCCGCACTCAGACACAACAAAGAGGCTCTTTGTAAGAGTGAGTTCTCGTGGGACAGAAAGGGTTGTAGCAGCAGAAGTCCGCCATTTTCAGCAAGATGCACCCCGTTATCCACCTGATGGAGTAAATACGACAAGTCCTCGAATATGGTAAGATAGCGTTCTTCACTAGCGAGACCCTGTCTCAATTCGTTAAGTAACTTATCCATGATTTCCAAATCACTTCTGATAGTGAGATTCAACGTTGCGAATTCAGACTTAATATTTTCGTATGACCTGAAGTTAGTCCTGATTTGGCGAATATGATCCTGAAAATGCATTAAGTTATAAACCACTGCTCACCTCATCCATCATATCGTCGGAAGTAGGCAGTTCAGGGTGCGGATGGGATGACTCCTTCTGGCTAACAAAAGTACTGGGATTATCCTGCTGAGGATTTCGCACGATAGCAGGGAGTGCCCCGGAAACCGACAGCAAACCGGATTTCGGTCGTCTGGTTCCAGTTTGATTAGCGATATTTTGACCCGACCGCGTAACTAACCGATCAGAGATAGCATTGGTGGCTGTTCGATGGGCAATTAAGTCATCAGCTAATAACACTACTGCAAGTGATGAACTACGTAACTTACCTATGGTGTTGCAGAGGAAAAGCGGTACAAGTAACATGAACAATGCGTTCAAGATCGGTATACGTACCAAATACATGTTAGGTGTTGTATCCACGGAAAACATGCGTACGTCTAAGAACAGGTGCAATGAAGTGAAGGTGGAAAAAGATTAGCGTAGGAAATAAAAGTGGACAATTTGAACGAATTGAATTGTGTACATGGATTACACTGTATTCCAATGAGATCTGCACCAACAGACATCCGTGTACCGGCATATAAAGCGTAGGTGTAGGTGAGTAGTAGTGCTTTCAGCCGGAAAGCCAAAAGCGATTCTGAGGAAAAGCAGATTGCCGAGAACGTGTACGTAGAAAATCAGTCAAAAAGCAATCATCATCATTACACGTTAGCTGAAGGTGGGAAACACCTCAGCTATTGTGCCGCAATACAAAAGACAAGAAAAGAAAAAAAACAAACAGTGGCACGCCCGCTGAGTCCCCAGTAACGGATGGACATCGTACCGGAGAGATAACAGCTGGCTGCCGTAAAAGACAGTCGTATTATGCCTAACAAGTGAGATCGTGATTGGATAGGGATGCAAAGCAGGAGGGGGATGGGCAAAGGAAATCACAACACAAACGACATTGGGGCCGGCTCCAAGCCATATCAGCAAGTGTGTCCAACCAAACGTGTTCACCGTCCTTAGGACCCCAACCAGGCAGTCGGGATGCACCAACCGACGCCAACTTCGAAGTGAGGATTTTCATTCCTCTCGACCAAGTCATCACTTGGCCTCCCCTCCTCCTCTTTCAACCGCACCCACAACGCGCAAACAATGCACGTCGCGGGAGTCGGTGTGCTGGCATGCGCAACATGTGGCCCAGCCATCGGAGCCTGGCGCGTGATATAATGGTGCTGAGCGATTCACTCGCTCTTCCTGCACCAAATACGTGACGTCGAACACGCCTATTGCTCACGCGGTGTTCCCACCAGACATGAGCTAAGCTGCGAAAGCAGCGATGATCGAATGTGACGAGCCTCTTCATGTCTGTCGACCTGATGGGCCAGGTTTAACAGCCATATAGGAGAGTTGAACGGACGACTGCGTTGTAAACTCTGCCCTTGAGGGCGAGAGTAATGACGCATCTGCGCCACAGGTGGCGGAGATTGGCAAAAGCACCTCGAGCTTTTGCTATACGGTTCGTAACCTCATCTTCAATCCAACGGGTGCTAATATAGCTGCCTATATACTTGAATTCCTGAACGACTTCTAGCAGATCACCACCAAGCGTTAGCGCAGGGTTGGGTCCCTGCCAACCTAGGAGAAGTATTTTGCATTTCGATGGAGCAAGATTATTTTCATAAAGCTAACAAATAAACAAATACGCGTGCATGGGATTGATCGACAATGTTGTAACCGCAACAGCGTTACTTAGGCTACCATATGATCGCAACAGCGAACGCTCAAAAAATGGCTAAGGAAAACGAGGAATTTCCATGGAAAACTACTTCTAAAAGGGTATAGTAGAGATGGAGGTCAATTGGTTGTAACTGCCAACACGTATTCGTGTGATTCTTCTACGGTATCTTCAGCTAACGCAACGTATAGAGGTGAAATAATTTCGTAACTCGGAACACAACTTGAAAATATAGCCGCCGGTTTCAGATGACCGTAATAAGTAGGTACAATGCCGGCGCTCAGTTCCGCAATACTTTACAGGTTGTTTTGGAAATCATGTGCGAAACTTGGAACCGCCGCACTCGCGTGTTGACGTACGGCGGCACGCTGAATTTCCAACTGTCTAATGGTGAATGTTGATTTGTCGAAAGTGCCGGCACAAGTGGATGGCAGGCGTAGGCTTAGGGCACAGAGGCGAGACCTGTGTGTCCACGCTCGCGGTGCAGACCCCACGGAATCTAAGCCGGTCGACTGAGAGAAGTGTATGTTGGCCAAACGTCAAAGCAGTAAAGGACGTGTCATGCTCCGATAGCATGGCAGACCAACGGAACCGATGCCGTTCAGCTGTGAGAAGTGAGTGTTAGCCAAACACCAGGGCCGCATGGACGTGTCATGCTTCGATCTATTGGTAGACGGCTCTCAGGCAGGGATCCCTGCGAAATGGTTAGTGACTCACTGTTTTAGCAGTGTAGCAGGACATTATACCGGTGCTTTCGATGTATCTCCAAGCGCAGTCACGTAATATGCAAGTCGATCAGCGCGAGGTCATTGTGCGGCTGTGTGGTGAGGGAGTGGAACGCGGCAGAAACCGCACGATGCTACAACACAAGGCACTACGCTACGCGACCCACTAACGATCGATTTGTGCGTCGACTGGTGAAGAAAAGTGAAGAAACTGGCAGTGTTTGTAACATCAAACAAACCGGACGGCCTCGCACCGTCACGGATGAGATATCAGCTAGCGCGGTTGTGCAAGAGGTATGGATAAAGAGCCATCACAGCATTCGGTGACTCGCAGATCATTGCGAAAACCATAACACATGTTGAAGGGAAAATATTCCGACGGTATAGTGCACTATAGGTGCAAGTTTTGAACACATGCGATTCAGAAAAGTGCCTGGAATTCGCCCGTTGGTAGTTAAAGTAGGAACATACATTCCATCGTGTTAACCGAGGTGCTCGTTTGCATGGCGAGGTGGTAACATATTTTGGCAACGAATAACCCATAGCAAGACAGCGCTTCACGTGTGTAACATTGCGCAAAGCGCATGGGTTGGGCTGACCGGTCGAAAAATCACTGGACCACTTTCTTTTCTAGGAGTGTGCCCGGTAGATTGTTGTTTAACAGTACTAATGTCTGACAATTCTTAGCATGCTCGTGCAGGGAAATGTTGCAGACCAGCGTCATTTCGCATCTGCAGTCCGAAGGGTTACGGAATACCGTTTAGTGACAGCAGGATGGCGCGCCTGCAAATTAGACGCAAACGGCTCGTGCTTTCCTGAACAAGACTTTTGCTGAACGTTGAATCTGCCGAGGTAGACCGATAGAGTGGTCTGCGTGGTCACCGGAGCTAAATCTGGTGGATATTTTCCTATGGGGATACTTGAAGAGTAGAGGTTATACAATAAAACTCAACAGCCTGGATGAACAAAGAGACAACACTGTGAACGAATGTAGTCAGATCACGTTGGAGATATTGAAGAAAGTGCTTGCCAACACCAGCAGGTGAATGCTCCTCTGCAAGCAAAACGACGGTGGGCACTTCGAACACCTAATTCGTTGATATTTACAGGCATTTCATACATTTCATGTAAACATAAAGAAATAAAGAAATGTATACCCTCGATTACACACGAGGCACACCATCGAAGGCAATGATAAGTTTGTACAACAAGCAACTGTCGGATTATGAGGGCAATAATTGCATTCAAGACTAAATGAGTGTGCTGTCTAATGGTGACACTAATGCGACGGGGCAGAGTGAAATCAAAGAGCATCGTTTAAAGTGAGCAAGTTTGTAACCTTAGAAAGTGCTTCTGGCAGTATGATTCCCCTTAACAGTGAAAGCAGCCAAATAGAAGATTCGGATTTGTTGGAAGCAAGTCATGAGGCTGTAACAGCTTTTTCCGCGATTGTATTTTGCCACGTAATTCGATACCAACCTGAGCCCATCAAACGGTTATTGCATAAGGCTAGGCTGTTTTTCTCAGTCGCGAGAAAGGCGAGGCACTAACCATTACGCACAGATCCCTTTGCTGGCTTTTTCAGATGCCTGAGAGCCGTCTATCAATCGATCGAAGCATCATACATCCATTGCGACCTTGGTGTTTGGCTAACATTCACTTTTCACAGACGAATGGCCTCGGTCCCGTTGGTCTGCACCGCGATCGCAGACACAAAAGTCCCGCCCCTGTATCCAAAACACACTCCAACCATCTACTTGTGCAGGCACTTTCGACAAATATTCACCATTAAACAGTTGGCAATTCAGTATGCCGCCGTACGTCAGCAGGCGAGTGCGGCGGTTCCCAGTTTCGGACGTGATTTCCAAAACACTTTGTAGATCGTATACTGTGGGCGATCGTATAAGTATCATTACGGTGGGGGCCTTACCGTTGACGATGAAATTGGCTAGACGAGGCTACGGGAAGTTATAGCCAGTGCCGCCATAAATTAACTCTCAGGTGATATTCAGTTATTGATGTGTCGAAGGTAGAACATGCTTGGATGAAATAGCGCCCTCGACAAGTTATTTCACGCTCAGGTACAGACACCGGCGATGTTTATGTCGATCTCACATGTAGTGTAAGAAGATTAATACTCAGGCGGAACACCAGCTCCGGTACCACGTATGTCGCAGCAATCAATTCAAATCAGTTCAGATAGGCAATAAGAATCCGTGCAGCGCGGTGCGATGGATCCAGTTATCATGACCCAAGTCGTCAAAATAATCATATATATATATATATATATATATATATATATATATATATATATATATAGCGCCGCCGGGCCGAGCACTTTCAAGATCACTTCACTTGGCCCCCTGCTTTCGGACCTCTTCCTACTCGGGTGGTGCAGGCTGATGGATTAGTTCTGAGGCTCCTTCTGAAGCTGAGGCCCGAAGCGCCGTCACAGCTCTTCAAACGTACTGGTATTCAAATTTAACTGACGTCGCCTTATCTCTGCACGATAGCCATGTTTGTGCCGATGTGCTGTTGACAAGGGGTAGGCGTCTTGATCCTGACTGTTTGCTCAGGGCATAAAGATCCTACACTGTCATCGTCCTCCCCCACGTATTATCCCTTATTCCCTAGGCCATTATGGTTGTACGGCAGCGACGCGGTTATGGTGTTTGACTCACCTCAAACGCTGCAAGCTGCTCGTGGGCGTGGTCAATCGCGGTTCACTGAGCCGTTGCTGTGACTGGTTGTCGCGTGTCTGCAACCGAGAGTCTTCCGCAGTTCCCGCTGATAAGCAATTTCATCTTGCCTCGATTACACTGGCCTGAGACTGAACTTCTCTCCGGCCATTGTGAAGTAGAGAAGACGTTCACAGAAATGCTATTTGAAACTGGGACCACGCACCAAGTAAACCGGTCGACTTGCATAACCGTGCGCTCGACTTTATGGTGAAAATACCTGGTATTCACCAGCTGTGGGCAACATGTGCATG